TCTTTCGAAAGATATTGTGATAAAAGAAGTTTTGTATTTTTTTTACTAACTGGTAATAATTAAACAGGTTTTTTTTGTGCTTGCGCAAACGAAAAATTTTTACCTTTTTTTTTTTTTTTTTTATTTTTTTTTTTTTTTTGGGTGGGGGGGGGGGGGAGTTTTTATTGATCTTTTTTTTTCTCAGTCGCTTAATTTTTTCCGTTGCGTTTCGTTTTAAAGCCGTTTTTGTTGCCCACTTTATCGTCTTTCTTTCGCGTGAAATTTTGGCTGGCCAAATTTCTAGGAAAGGGACAAACGTAATCTGCAAACAGTACTGAGTTGATAAATTAAAAAATTGACAGTGTTGGTCCCAAATGTTGTTTGCTTTTTATGTGTAACTGTGTCAAAATTTGGTAAACGAAGTACTTGTGGCAAGATCTATCCGCGCTGATTTTGCTGCTTACCATCTAAACAGCTTAAATGGAAAGATAAATGGGTCCAAGAGGGAAAATATGCACGGGTCCGCCGTAAGGACCCAAAACGATCAAGGCGGTCGTCAAAGGGTTACCTCTAGCTGTCCCTTTTTGGATGGTGTCCCAACTAAGGTACCTGTCACTTTCCAGGCTTGATTTTGTTTCCTTGAATATATTCTCCATAGCAGTCATGTACTCTCATTTGTACGTTGGCCCTTACTATCTTACGACAAGGTATTCCTTAAAAAGACACTGACCTTAAAGTTTATTTACATTTTTGTTTACAGAGATCGATGAAGCCTGAAACAACTCCTGAATGTTTAAAGAATTATACGACAGTATCAGTACAACATGTTTACTTTGTGGACCCACTGAAAATTGCGTGTTCTTAAAAAAAGGAAGTCCTTTCGCTCGGGTTTATCATATTATAAGTCATATCTAGCCATTTAATAATAATATGTCCTCTACATATCATATTTATCATAAATTGGTCAAGCCTTGTAAAGCCTACAAAGTCCATAATACGCACTCAACAAACCATGTAAACTGCTATCATTATGATTAAAGTTTATCTCTTAACAAAGTATGGTTTAGTCGACGCTTTTATATAGACCAAGAGAGAGACTCAATACCCTCTTTAGATACCGGTTTTCTCCTTCTTTTAAAGCTAAATCAAGCTTATATTGAGCAAAACTTCTGAAGACGGAAAACGGTTTCGGTGCTTGAGACGAAGTGTTTCTTTGCCGCAAAACTTACTTTCCACCAAACACTCAGTTAGTGAAGGCAAATGACAGTCAATATGGCGACGGGAGGCGCTGGGAACGAGACTACAGACTGAGGGAGGGGGCGAGGATACTCGAAATTATGATAGCTTATGATGTTTTAAGACTGCTCCTGGCTGGAAGGAGGAAAGCGAAGTAATGCGCGCGTTCGACCAGATTCGGACGTCGTTTTTATTTACTACCCGCCTCGATTAGCTCGCTAGCCATTTCCAGCAGTAACATTTAAACAGTTAATCTATAAATTGAGATCATAAAAAAAGTTGAAGTTGACGTCTAAGAAACGCGGTCAAGACTTAGTTCGAAAAACAAACCCTTTTCCTTGAAATGGGGGTTCATTTTGCACAGGAATTGTTGTTTCTTTGGCACCATTTTATCTAGATATTATGGAGACTTTTCTTTGTCCCTGGGGAAAGAAAGCCCTTACATAACCAAAAAGAGAACTTTTTCTTGCGGAACAAACGCTGGAAATCCCGAGCGGGCACTCAGATAAATAGCCTATCAGAACGCAGGATTCGCCTCATCTTGCTCCCTCACCGATTCAGCTATAAAATAATCGCGTCTTCTTTTGACACGCCATTGATACGGACACCTTCTATGGTCCTCTCAGTGTTCGTGCTAACGTTGTTCCAAGGTAGTCTGGGTGTGGTCAATTGGTGCTGTTCGTGAGTGAAGTCAGTTCAGATCCATTCAGAGCAATGCTCAATGTTTGAAAAACGGCTCGATTTTACAACAATGTGACCCTTTCATCAACAGTTTACTTTTTATAGGTAATTCTAAAGAGATATCGCCTTTAATAGTTCTTTCACCTGAGTTACGTGTCGCCGGCTTGAGACACCGTACCCAGCAACTGTTTTCAAGAAATTCAACGGAAGAACAGAAAATACAATGTTTATAGAGACAAAGATGTTTCTTTTTGTTGGGGCCTTGATATTGTACATCGAAACTGTGACAAGCTGCGGAGAAAGTGGTAGGCTAATAATCTGTAAATATTTGGGAAAAGTTTCAAAAATGCAGTCGTATTTCCACTTTTTAAACTGATTTTATATCTTATTTTTTTGGTATTCCGTGAAAAGTTATTTTTTCAAGCCAAAAAATCGCTTGAAAATCACAAAAACAAGTTCTTTTATTCATTATCTAATATTTGATTTTTATAGGACATTTTTTGTTAGCTGAAGCGCGGGGCTTTGTAACTGTCAGATAGATTTGACAACTGACAAAGTTGTACGTTAGTTTGGTGATAATTACCTTGACTTTGCCGGAGAAAAGTGGAAAAAGACCGCAATTATGGGATAATTATGCACACAAGTTGGTAAAACTTTAAACGCAACCTGCATAAGTGCTTTCCATACTATATTTCCCTTTATGACTTCAGAGACATCCAACGGGAAATTTTGAGAACAAGACCTAAAACAAACAACAAAGCATGAATAAAGGTTTCTGAAGCCATTTTAAGCATTTGGAGAGATTCCTGGAAAAAATGTATCTGGTCCTCACACTCTGCAAGACTGTTGGAAGAGTTCCCAGCCAGCAAGGTGCACCTACAACCTGCAACCTTACTTACTGGGAAGTTTCCAAGCAGACAGACAGACAGACTGCCTTTATTTTAGCACATAGCACAAAATAGCACATAGCACATAGCACATAGCAGCTATTCTACACATCAAATCCCCTCGAACACCTTGAATTGTCTATTTCCCGGCAATACTTTCTTTCCAAGGACATATTACTTGTTCAAAATCTCTCAGCCAGCAAAAATTCGCTTGAAGAAGCGAAGAACAGATATTTTCAGGGACAGATCCATTGGGTGCCCTTGTAACTTACACTCCGTTATTTCCTTTTGTTTTTCTTGCTTTTATTACAATAAAGTGAACTGAAGTTTAATGCTACAATGCTCTTTTTGCAAAATAGCAAGTGTTTGCATCATAAAAAAACCAAAACTGAATACCAAGTAGTTGCATCATTTTATAAAACGATTAATACGTTCTGCATATGCATTTTGCTTATTACTATTATCATGAGTTTTCCTTCAAAGTGTTAATTATTTCATTTTTTCTTCTAATTTTACGTAAAATTTTGCAATTCTTCATGCACAAGAACAGAGAGGAAAGCAGTACAGATTTTATTCAGGGTATCGCCAATAGGACAAATCCCACTGGTCTTAAAACTTGTTTCTGTTTATAATTGACAGATTTATAAACTCATTTGTATCGAAACAGGATCCCTGTTTACTTTTAAAAACTAATCTTTAAGCTTGCAAAGCTTGTAATTGAGTGAAAATAGAAAATGCTCTCTAAATAACACAAATAACCAAATAAAAAATGGTAATTAAACTTACAGATTTTAAAAGGAATTGTTTGCTTCCGGAGTCGCACTAAAAATGAATCTTTGTTTTTCCCAAGAGAAAAAGTACTTGAAAACAGCGAAATAGACTTGCTTAGCTTAGCGTATTTGTTTTCCCTCTTCAGTCATTTAAATTAATTAACCAAGAGTCAGTTCTTTTTCATTTTTATCAGTTGACTGGTATACAAAAAAGCAAAATGACATGTCAGTACTTTTTATTGAAATGTCTTATAAGCAGTCTGTTTGACTTGAAATTTATCGTTTTGCTTTNAAAAATGGTAATTAAACTTACAGATTTTAAAAGGAATTGTTTGCTTCCGGAGTCGCACTAAAAATGAATCTTTGTTTTTCCCAAGAGAAAAAGTACTTGAAAACAGCGAAATAGACTTGCTTAGCTTAGTGTATTTGTTTTCCCTCTTCAGTCATTTAAATTAATTAACCAAGAGTCAGTTCTTTTTCATTTTTATCAGTTGACTGGTATACAAAAAAGCAAAATGACATGTCAGTACTTTTTATTGAAATGTCTTATAAGCAGTCTGTTTGACTTGAAATTTATCGTTTTGCTTTGTAGGAAAACAATGGGACCGTTTACTTGGTAAGTAACGAACTCCAAATTAAACTGTAACGAGGATAGCTTTAACTCAGTGTTCCAACATTAACAGGTGCCGCTGCATAGAGCTTTCTTTGCTGGATAAGGCATTTCACACCTGGAAGAATTTATAGCTCCTTTCTCCTGAGATAACTTTAACGAGGGATTTAGCAACCATCGTTACGTAAAAAACTTCAGAAGAAGCGACCTTGAAAGCTGCCGAGAGGTAGCATATGAGGTTTTCTCGAATCCTACTCCAAAAAAGAATAACAGCTTTGAACTTCCCAGCGCAAAAAAACGCTAAGGTACTGCACGTGAAACAATCTTGAGTGTCAACGTCTTACCTCGATTATACGCCACTTGTGCATTTCCCATAATACACTTGTTTTCCCCAACACCCCTCTCCCTTTATCCGCTCCCTCCTTTCTCCTTCGCAGAGGCCTCTTAGCGTCGTAGGAAGGCTGGGGAGATGTTAGACTGCCAGCAGTCTCTCTATTGCTTGAAAATCTGTGAGCGAGTGCCATAATTACGCTCGTCCTTGCGCCCGCATAACTCGCTGCTCGCGGCTTTGCCGTCCTCGCCTAAGCGAACTTACGCAACAGGACGGGAGAGGGAAGAAGACGGCTAACCTTGTTCGACGAGCGTGACAGTAGTCTTGTTTGAAACAACTTTTGCCCAAACTTCACTTTCCTTTAAACAGATCTTTTTGTAAAAGACTCGAAAACATTAATGTTAAGGGAAGATTACGTCAAAACACGTAAGTAATAGCCCTGTCACGTTTGTCACACATGAGCGTTTTGCCGTCCTTGTCTTCCTGCTTTCATGTTGCGTAAACTCACAATTACTCGCTCACAGTTTTTCGAGCAAAAAAGAGACTGCTTGCAGTCTAGGGAGATGGGAAAAGACGCTATATTTATTGGGATACCTCTGCAGAGGAGAGAGCCACTCCCCCGGCCAGATTTTGTCTGAATGAATGCCCTTGATTTGTCTTTGGACGATCTGTTATACCCAGTGGGAATTATAGACAAAAGTGCTGGAGTGGAGGAATAAACAAGGTGTATTATGGTGAGTGCGCAAATTGCAAATGTAAAAAAAATCGTATGAACGTACCATGAGAGAAATATCGTTCGGAGAGCAGTGTAAACTTGATTAATAATACTTTCGTTTTTTTTTCAGTAAATTTCTTGAATCCTACACCTCTTCCACGAACAGAAGACCAAGCTCTAGCTGAGGGGTGGAGAAACGACGCTTCATGTGGTATTACACGACACTGTATCCCTTCCCGATTTTACAAAAATTGTCTTGTATCAATCTTGCATCCAGATATTTTATTTGAAGCGGATCTTAAGAAAAAAATTCCACCGCCGGTTTGCAAGACGATCGGCCGTTTATGACTAAAGCAGTCATATGTGCGCTGCTTTCAAAGTCAAGCGACCTGCTGTATATACATTTTCCCTTCCCTCCACTAAAAACCCCAGTGAAACATTGTATGAACGATGGCTGTCATAGGATTTTTCTGAGGCCCCGTCAAGGTAAAATTTTAAAAAGCGACATGGCCTTGAAACAGTAGCCTCCCCGCAGACGTCCGTTGGGGTTCGTTTGTCACGCATTCATTTCTCCCCCACATTCATTTCTCCGTGGGGGAGAAATGAATGCGTGACAAACGAACCCCAACAGACGTCTGCGGGGAGGCTATTGAAACAGCGACATAAAGTTGGTTGAAATACCCACAGGGACATGGTTTACTCCTTAAAACGTAACACGTCTAACCTTCTCCCGCCAAGAGGCTTAGGCTTACTATTTCTCAGCACACACTTTTTTCAATTTCCGTCTCAAGGACCATCACGTACCACCCCACCCACCCCACAAGATAGCTTCTCTTCGTTAAACCTTTAAAGATAATTACATTTCTTTGTTGTAGATGGAAAAAATGCATTTCATGGCAACCGATACGCGCTGGGAACCGACATATCAACGAGGCTGATATTTGATAACAATGGAGAACTGGCCGGAATACAAGCAACAGTAAGGCAGTTTATGATCAGTAGCGTGTGAGGGTTATTACTTGACCGTTAGCCATCCTACCTTTCCGGAATAAAGGAGCATGTCCGACAATTACGTGGGTCTTGATTAAGGTTCAATTTAAGTTACGCAGATTATGTCGTCCTCAAAACCCCACATTAGTGAGTCATAGGAAGGTTTATGCGAGAATATGGTGCGTGAATAAAAAAGTTAAAGTTTTAAAATTAAGAATTGTATGCCTCTTTGAAATTGACAATTATGTCCAAAGCATTCTAGGTTAGTTAATCAAATCGAGGCAAGGGCTTTATGCTCCCCTTTATCCCAGATCACTGAACCTTATGCGATGAACGAGCCTCTCGTCTTGAGGAGAATGTGCCATGCTTACAAGGTTAAAAACATTTAATCAGGTTAAAACAAACTATATTTTCTCTAACACAGATCACTGAGTCAGACGAGCTAATACTTTCACCCACCCGACCCCGGCCGGGAGCGTTTGTAAAGGACGACCATGGCCACTATCTTGTAACAGCTTACTTCACCGACAAACCAAGTGATATCTGCAAGAAAAGGCCGGGCAAGCACTTAGCGAATGGACGACACAAAAAGAAAGATGCCCTGGTTATTCAAATGAGTGACGTCAGACTGTGCAAGCCTGAGTTCATGGAAATACCGCTGGACGAACGAAAACTAGCAAACACCAGATGGGTGAAAGGGAAGTGCTTTCGTGGAATGGGTAAGATAATTTGAAAAAATTGGGAGAGGGGTATAGCAGGCGAACAATAAGGAGAAGTCTCATGCTATCTTTCACTTACTTGCTGTTTTAGTCAGATAAAAAAGGGTCTTACAGTTATTTTATTTTATTTTTTTATTTGATTGAATCCCTTACTTTGGATATTACTTTCTGCCTAAATTTATACGGAGAGGATGGAGTACCGAAGAGGATGGAGTAGCCTTTTCAAAGACCCTCCGGATTTATTGACTGTTAAAGGCTAGCGCAAGACGCTGGGGGTAGGCTCGATCTGGTGCTTCGCTCGCACGCTCGCAAAATTGGCAAAAATGTAATAAGCATGAGGTCCCTCATCTTTCGTTTAAGCCAGATACTTTTCCACTGATAACCGTTTTTTTTTCTGTCATAGGAGTGCACTACTGGTATGATATTTCCCCAGACATGCACTGTGATCAAGTATTTCCAGTGTATCTCATGTATGGTCAGTCCTCAGGTCGATTGAAGGCTTTTGGATGGTCTGTCCTTGCTAATATCCAAAGTTATTTATGGGAACATCCTCCAATGAAGTACTTTAAGGTAATGCTTAATCTCAAACAGAGTGTTAGGATTTCTCAGTCAACAATTTGGTGCTGATATGAGGGAGGGGTTGAGGTGTTTAGACAGCATTTAAGTCAACCTCGTCCCCAGTGCGCTTTTCCCTAGTCATGCCCCACCTCCTTTCGGTCCCCTTTCGCGGGACCCCTGCTCCAACGTAAATCCAAGCAGTTTTCTTCTCCACCTATTGAAACAAAATTCCTTTTTTTGCTCCCCTCTCGTTCTTTAACTTTTATTAATTTAATAGTAATTGGCTAGAAAAATTGGATTGGCTCTTTGGTGAAAAACAGCGTTAATTTTCAAGGTAGGAGGCACTGCGAGCACTATTGTAATTAACAATCTCCTAAAGAAACTCCTGGAAAAGATCATAAACTAATCTCTTTATCCTATCAGCTTTTCTTCGAGGAAGTGCCTAAATGTGTGATACTTCGGAAGGTGATCTCTGGTCAGCATATCTACCTCACTGATCCAAAGAAACTTACCTGCAGCACGCCATAGTCATGTGATGACCACGTGATTCTTAAGACGGCGCACGAGATTAACACGTGCGTGTTACCTAAAACTGTTTTAGTAAAATAAAGGAAAAGAAACCTGAAAATGTTGGTATGTTTCTTTTTCTTCGTGTCGAAACTACCGCCCACAAACCCGAACTTAAAAAGTTATTTCTTAGCTGATATAGCCTGCAGAACAGGCATTATTTTTCGGCGTTTTTCAGGGGAGCGAAGGCAGCGCGAAGCGAGCGAGGAGCGCCAGACACGCGCGATAGGAGACGTCCCACATGTCTTGTGTCTGTGTGTCTGGCGCTCTTCGCTCGCTTCGCGTTTGCTTTCGCGCTTACCTATTCTGACTACCTTATTATAGGATTAACGACGCACGTTGATAACACGAAGAAAATCTACGTTAAACAAAATTAACGCGAATTTTCCAAAAGTTAGGTTTACACACATCAAATTAACGCAAAATTTTCGAAAACAATGTGCGCCTAACTTTGTTTTACACGAGTTTGCTGCAATTCAAACTTCTCAGCATACATATCTATCCCCTCGGGGAAACGGATGAATACAAAGACCAGACGAAAGACATTTTGAACTCAATTCAGTAAAGAAGAACTGTTAGATAGTGACTCCGAAGCTTTGATAGAGGAACCATGAGCCGACGAGGTTTTGTTAGACGTCTTGTTATTGAAATAAAGGTGCTGTGAAACAACAATGATGTAAATATTGTGATTTATATCGACGTAGATTAAGGGCCTGTTTACATGGAGTGGGGGACCCCGGTCTAGTGGGGTTGGTTTCTTTTGTTTTCACCCTCTAGTGGACACAAAACAAAAGAAACCTACCCCACCAGACCGGGGTTCCCCACTCCATGTAAACAAGGTCTAAGATGCATTGAACTAACGCGATTTTTTAAATTGCTTTAATAAACTGCATCGTTAATTTCCTATAACAAGGCACTCTGCGTGCCAAGCCGATAACTGTGGAGGAGGGGGAGGGGGGAAGGGCTTAAATAAAAGCTACGCAGGCTAAAATTGAGAGTGGCATTTGACAGACCTCTGAAAGAGAACGAATAGTTGAATACAACTACCAGAATCCTTCAGTTTGCTGTTTTCTTGTGCAAATTAAGGCTATTGTTCTTTAAACCTCAGTGGAGTGGACAAATTTAAATAAGAAAGCAAAGACGAAATGAATTCTGGTAGTTGTAGTCAAACATCGTCATCGTGAAAATGGCCTATAGCGATGAAGACGAGGGCGGAAGACAGCTAAAAGGCCGATTTATGATAATTTATGACTTTTCGTGACATGCGCAATTTTAGTTGAACAGGTCAAAATAATATTAGGAGAAATCAAGTCATGAAAAAACAACTTGTGCGACGCTTTATAAAGTGAGAGATGCTTGCGGTGGTTGTAAATGACACCGTGATCTGAGACGGTAAGAGTCATAAGAGTTGTTTTCAATAGTCCGTGTGGTGTGTTATTTATTTTATGTTTTCTATCGATATACCTTTGGTGTAAGTACAAAGATATTTAGACAAAATTAACTGGATCATGGCAAATTTGTGCCTTGTATTTTTTCGAATGGAAAGTAATTTGTACCAGAAAACTAATCCTTAATCTCACCCTGGTATTTTGATTTAGCCATTGGGTTATTCTAAAACTTATTCACGACTCTTCAATTTCTTAAATATTTTCCAGTGCACCGAGAAAGCACTTGTCCACTAACCAGAAATGACCTGTCTAACAAGCTAGCGATATTAAAAACGTGTTTTAAATTTTTAATGTACCTGCACCTGTTTTTCTCTGAAAACACATTTGTTTGTTTGCTACTCCGTTAAGCTTTAGGCCGCGAGGGACACCTATTCCTGAATTAATTCATAAGCCAATTCTTTGCTTGCGCCACAAGTTTTATTTAGGCTGTTTTGAAGGTGATTTAGATAACATAGTTTTACAGAGGAATTAAGGAATGATTGAATTTTAGGAGGGTTGTTTTTTATTTGATAGATCGCGATTAAGCCACATTGGTCCCAAATTGGGAAAACGTGATTTTGTGTCCAGAAGTTTGCCTGTCGAATAGAGGACAGCACTATGTCGTTTCATTACTGGATGATTCGTCAAGACCTCTAGTGTGTCATGTGAGCCGGAAGCGGATTTTAAGATTTAATGTTTTGCCAGCAAGATATAATCGTTTAAATGAGCAAAATTAATGCCTTATTTCTTTTTCTTAAAGTGCTCTTTAGAGAATTGCGCTTTACACATGACACACTACAGTCTACCAAGTTTACCCTCTGTAGTGCCAGCTCTTGAAGTTCTGTATCTGCCCTTAATTCTTGGACCCAAAATTGTCGGAAAAGAAACATTTGGTGACTTCCGAAAGTGTCCCGACTAGAACAAGAGTGCAAGGGAAGATATGATTATGTTAATAAAATTCCACGCTTATATACTCTTGACACCAGAAAGAACAATGCGTTGAAAAGGAACAGGTTTGTTTACAACCTACAATGTTTCCAAGGATTTTTGAGGTGGAAAATAAACGTACACTGAGTTGCAGTAAATTGTTGAAATTTCTAAAGAGAAACAAGGATTGCTACCTTTCAGAGCCCGTTTTAAACAAACATTTGTTTTGCAGTCTCCGTGCCATACGTGCACGTGAACACTTTAAATTATGCGCCCATATTTTATCCAGTCGATGTCAGTTGTTGCAGTTCTTCTTTTTCGCTTTGAATAAATACATAGCAACGAGCCCGAGGTGTCGAAAAGTCGTACATTTGATACCTACTTGTATTCCTGAATTATGCTGACTACGTGTTTTCGAAACGAACATTGTTGCATGTCCTTCGGAAGATTACCGCTGGGACAACAGGGCCTTGGCGGCCACATTCCATGCATATTAGTTGGCACAACAAGGGCATTCCCCGAGAATGTGGACAGAATTTTCAAAAACCTCGCTGTACAGTTTATAAAGTGCCGCTGACCACTGTTTCAGGACACCCTATGCGTTTTTGTCGGAAGGTTTTTATTCCCGGAGTTCCTCGTGATACTTTCGGCGATGTTAAAAGAAAACCTTTCTTAAATTGTTGGTTACATCAGTGACATTAGAGGCGCAATTAATATATATACAAAAAAGATTGTTCGATTTATCAATGGTTTCTTTAAATATTAAGTAACTTTTTTTCTCTTTCATGCTTACTTTGAATTCTCGTCAGGACGATGTAGTTCACTAAAACACTCCAATATGGCCCGCTGGGAGCTGGCCAAAATCACAAGAAAGAGAAAGCCATGGGTAATTCTTGCAATAACATTAGCGGTCATTGTATTAGTACGTATTGTGCAAACGCCTTCCCCGGATGAAATCAAAATAGCTGACTTCATGAAACAGTGGTGTCGAATAAGGCAAGCACGTGTAGACTGGGAACAAATGCTGAAACCATGTAAAGGAAATCTTGCGTGGGGAACCAAACTTCCCGGATGGGATTTCGAGTTCCGCACAGATCCGGATGAAAGCTATATTTCTTTGTGGGATATTCGTCCGTGTGGAGAATTCAGCAGGCTTAGTATTAGAACAGTAACAAGCAAAGGATTGGAGAAGAAAATCGGTGGGGACTCGTGGAGAGTTCATCTCAAGGGTCCGGCCTCTGTTGCTGGGACTGTTATTGATCATATGAATGGGACCTATGAAGTCTTGTTCCTGATTATTGAGCCTGGGAACTACCAAGTAGAAGCTATACTGGATCATTCACTTTGTGATGGGTTCGCTGATCCACCGCCAGACTGGTTTATTGTTGGTACGTTATATATCTATTAATGGTGGCTCACATAAGTTATATTCAAATCAAAGGTCGATTATCAATGAAAACACTGTTCACGAATTTGTTTTTTGCTGGCTTTCTCTCATCTTATCATGTTATTATGAGTTTTGAATTAACTTTGTTCTACAATAATCAATTCATTAGGATCAGAAGTAGGCTAAGTTTACTACTTTGTTTTGTCATTTGTTTTCTATTCTTTAATTTGCGTTTTGCCTTAGGTACAATAAAATAAGATGACACCAATAATCGGTAACTATAAAGACCTTTACTTTTCATATTTCTCTTACTTTTATGGAGCCACTCAAAAAGCAATTTAGTTTGTTCTTTCTTTTAGCCACAAATTTTGTCATCAGGTGCTTCAACAGAGGATATTCTCTATTGGGTGTTTTCGAATATGACCTCTGAATGTCTTTCATGCACTTCACTTACACTTGTTCTTGAGAATCATTATCAATGAAAACTAATGACTGGTCCCGAGTCGAGGGAAACAGTTAATTTTGTTTCCCGAGAATCTCAATGTTTCCCGAGGCGAAACCTGTAACGACGGTCGCCGGTCAACTTCGCGGGTAACAGCGCACCGCTGCCCTCTGATGCCATAGATTTTGCAATGTTGCTCGCTCAGAGATTTTGGTGGGAAACAGTTTCATTATTAGGTGTCATGTGACCTCGAAGTAACCAATGAGAGCGCGCTGTTTGAAAGAAATCTCCAGCTATATAACAATCTGGGTCCAGTTGTTTGAAGCCCGATTAGCGCTTAACCCGGGTCTCGTTTTCTTGTGTTCAAAAGCATTTTCTCCGATAATTTTCTCTGTTATTTTTAGAGCCTACAATCATCAACTTGTAGACAAAAAGAATTAAAGCTGAAATGCTTTTTAAGCTTTCAAAACTGAATTCAAATCTCGCACTATCTCTGGGTTATCTTAACCCAGCTTTGAACAACTCGGCCCTGTAATATACATATAAAACGCAAGATACTACCTTTCAGGGAATGCACAAGGCAAATTCCAACAAGAGGGAGTCCTGGGTCCAACTAAGAGGCCAGCTGAGCGACCATACATATTGAAACCTCTGAGGTTTGGAAATCCAGTATGGATTACCATTCGTCCCATACCTCCCGGAGAACAGCCTTTATATCAAGGTAAAGTTTATATAGAGTCTTAAGAATATAAATTAAACTAAAATGCAAATAAAAGGTTGTGAAAGCTCTTCGTTAGCAATTATTCTAGGGAAAGTTGACATGACAAGTCTTGTTGGTCCTTTGAACATTATGCCGAAAGCTATTTCGCTATGCTTGTTCCCTATCGCCCAAATATATTCTGGCAAATAACGTCCCTATATATAACATCTGTTAACTGGAAAACTCAATTAGTTAAAGTAAATATGTTCGCCATAGTTGAGTAAAATTTTAATCGGTTAAAAAATGGCCTTGAAAAAACAAAATCGAACCCTGACTTTTGTGACTTATCAAGCCAACTGGAGAGCAGGGTAATTGTGAGTTCGTGAATATACCAGATGTTGGAAATAGAATAAACGTCAAAAAAGGAAAAGGCGCACACGCGCCAAACGCCCAAACGGCCAGAGCTTATACCGGTTTTCTTAGCATAAAAAATGGCTAGGAGTATTGCTCCTCCCCCTGAACGGGATGCTAGTCTATCGCAGGGTTACTCCCCCACCTCCAGTAGTGTGTCGTCGGTACCCAATTGTATCGCTGGGTGAGGAGAGACAAAGTGGAGCAGAGTTCCTTGTCTAAGGAAACAACGCTTGAACCCCAGGCCTCCAGATCCAAAATTCCAGGTGTTAACCGCTCAGCCACACACGCCTCCACAAAAATGCATCGGTATATATAGCTACAAAGCCGGTGAAAAAAGAGCTCGCGCTGAAATATGCACTGTCAATGTTAGATAACATTTTCAGGGGAATGTTAGCCAGAGTAATGTTAGCGAATGATAGGGGAATACACACTGTACCTTTTATTTATCTTCATCATATGCGTGACATTGCTAACCCTCTGGTTTCAGTGGTACAGTCCGCAGGCGCAGGGTTAGACCTTTCTTGTGGAATCCGCTGCAATTTTCTTTGGGATGGATTTGGTAACTGGATCAGCAGTCATCAAGGAACGCTAAGATGGAAGCCTTTCATTGCAACAGATGGTAAGCTGGTTAAGGGAGGTCAATCAACGATGATGAGCACAAGATGGATGATCTTGTGTGTGCAGAAGACGATCTTCTGTGTGTTATAACAATGCAGTGATGGAGGATGTTTCTAAAACGGGAAGCAGGGAACTGCACGGGGAGCAGGACAATGGAAAATGGGAACAAAATCTAACTTGAACCCTAGACCCAGTAGCAACTTCATATCCAATTGTCTCCATTGTTCCCATTTTTTTAAATTTCCCGTTCCCTATGCTCATTCCCTTCTCCCAACCTCGTTCCCAGGGTTCTCTCCCACCCTTCCCTACGGAAACGAGGTTGCCCTGCTCCCCGTTCCTTATTTTAGTAACATCCTGTAAGAGGGGATTCCTTCCCAATGTGTTTTTATAACTGTTGTCACGTGGTCAGTATCTACTGGTATGTTTTATCGCCATGATTTACTCCAGTCATTGGGACTAAAGAAAGAATGTGTCAACTACAGGGTTTGTCTAACTTTTTAGATAATACGTACTAATACTGACACAAAAACCAGTCAGGATTAAAAAAAACATAGTTCATCTCCTTTCTAACAATATTGCACGTGAAGCATAGAAAATTAAATGAGTTACTTCAGCTTTTAATGATAAAAACTAAATACTGTCTTTTCTTTTTTCAAAGAAAGTGTTCTCCTCCCAGCAAAATTGTTTACCCACGCTTCGTCTCCTTTCCCCTTTGTTTTCTTTCTTTTATTTTATTGTATCCTATTTTTAGTTCAAACATCATTTTGTTTTGAATTTAATTAAATAATTCATAATGTAAATATATACAACAAAAATTGATCAACAACTGACCCGCTTCAATAAGCCTTTGAAATCTGCTGGTGAAATTGTTTTCTGTATTATTTTTTTATAAATTCGAAACAAAGTTGTTAGTTGTTGTTGTTAACGGTATTTGGTCTAGATAGATTACGGGTTTTGAAACAAAACGACCAAATTCAGGTAAAAAATATTTCGATCTTTTCTCGACACGTGCTCTTGCTATTGCAGATAGAGACAGACACAGTTCACTGAATCCCAGTCCTCTCCGGCCCGATAGTGTGCTGTGGATATACGGGGACTCCGTCAGCGAACAGTTTTTCTGGGGAGTCAGACCACGCCCGCTATGCACTACTGTTTTCAAATGGTGTGGACATACATACAACTGGATATATCAGTTGAAGGGTAATGACAAAATTTACAAATACTAGGTAACCTGCGTGGGGAATGGAAAGGGGGGACAAAAGCGCGCGAAAACACTACGGGCAACCAACCTCGCTTCGAGGTGTCGAGTAATATAGAACCTTGGGGACGAGGCTGCAGGCATCTAACCCATTTTTGCGCGCTCTTTACCTCTCTTTCAAACACTGCTACGCACGCTGAATGCTGAGAAATACAAAGTGGGAAATAAAGATAGGGGATGTTGGTTTTTCTTTGGTTATAACGAAAGACTGAACTACACACAATAAACAGTACCAAACGAAAATACTGATCAGTAGCTTTTAAATGATAGGCCAGCCTACTCTTTCATAGGTTAAAAATTGTAAAATTACAACAGAATGGTTAAGTTGACTTAAGAAGCAAGTTATTAGGAAGCTTTAGCATCGAAGACGTCGACAGCGGCGAAAACGCCACCTTTAAAATGAATTTGCTTTTTTTTCAAACTTTGCCGCGTGTATTCCAATGCGCAGAAGTCAAATGTAGGCGAATCTCCCTGGAACTGATTTCTTGGGCACCGCACTCACTTAGGTTAAAAGGAGAAAGAAAAATTCGTCGTCGCTGGTTTATTAAGGACCTTAAGCAAAGGCGTTTTTGAGCGACGCGCGTCAACCGGAATGAGGCGTTTTCCAACTTCAACGCTATCAAATTTGAACCCCTTGGGGGGGGGGGGGGGGGGGGGGGGTGTTTTTTAACCCCCCCCCCTGGTTCCCCCAAGAAACAAACACAACCACCCCTTTTTTTTCCTTTCCAGGAACTTTTACACCGGGGAAATACAACAGTGACCACTTTGCTGTCCTGTTTTTAGAGTGTGGCGTACATGTCATTTTTAAGGGAGTTTAGACAGGGGTGTTTGGGGGCCGCGGGCGCAACGGGGGGTGGGGGTTTTCCACACTTCCACCTTCAAAATTTGACCCCCCGGGGGGGGGGGGGGGAGGGGTCGTCGTTGCTAACGCTCCCTACTAGTATCTCCAAGAAACAGACAATAACGTCCACTTTTTTTCACTTGCAGGAAATCTTACAGCTGCGAAAATCGCAGATGACAACCTTGACTTCAGTTATTTGAGAGTAGCGAGTGAAGTGCTTGACATTATAACAAAACCGTTTTTCGATAAAAACAGCGCGATCCTTCTGAATGCAGGGTTACATTACTTGGAAAGCACAAACTTTTCTAATTATCAAAAGACTATTTCCTCGTTGATACGGCTCTTCGACGAAACAAAAGTGGTTAGGAGAGCGAATGGAGACGGCCTTTTTCCCGGAGAAATGATCTGGAGAACAACGACAGCCTTGAATAAACATAAGCTTGACGGAAAACACATACAAGGAAGGAGATTTTTAACGTATCAGGTACCAAATGTTTCTACTTTGCCTTGTTTTGTTTGCAAACTATGATTTATGGTCATTTTTTGGCGCAGGTTATGTCGTGTTATTTTGCACTGATTTAGTGCTGACTATTCTATTCGTCATTTAGAACTTAATGGTGACTATAACTATCATGAATTTTGTCTTCAGATAAAATCACCCACCCCTCAAGGAACTGATCTATATATAAAATTTTCTCATAGACTAATAAGATTCCAGGTCCTTTTAGGTTCAAGACCTTTTTGAGACATGGATAATCCCCGGGGGGGGGGGGGCACTGCCACATATGGGCTATATAGGTATGTGCCGCTGTGAAGGGTATGGTTTTCAAGCAGTTAACTCTAGGATAGGGTATATAAATCAGAGCGTCTGGGTCTAGAATAGGGTATAATTTTTCAGGAAACTGATCAGTTGGGTGAAGATTTTAAGATCTAATCCCTTTGTCGATGAGATCCTATCCCCCCTAAACCCCTCAAATGAGATCATATCCCATCGTTTTAAGTCGACTTGATCGAGATCATATCCAATTCCCAAGGTCCCAGGGTCGCCGTGTAGGGGGCCCAGAAATTCCTAAAGTACCCCCCCCCACCCGGGGGGATAATCTCAATGTACAGGCCAGAAAGGTTTAAGACAGCAAAGGGTAATGGCGGCAAGCGCTCTGTTCTTCCACATCCGCAACCCTGAACCTTGCAATGGATAAGCATTGATTGAAAATGTCTAAAAAGCTAGAGACGAAAGTCCCTTCCTTCTCCATTCATAAATATGCAGAAAAAGGAGAAAAAACCAGCAATCTCGTTCCCAGGGCCCTCTCGTACTCGTCCCCGCTACGGGATACCTGGCAACGAGGTTGAAGCAACAGCGGTATCTATGCATATAAAAACTAAACTAAACGGAACAATCATCAATTATTTTTTTCTCTCCTAGCAGAGGGTTCTTCTCTTCAATGCTTTCGCTACCTCAGCCATGTGTGAAGCCAATGTTCCGGTGCTTGACGTTCATCCACTAACGGATTCTTATCCATACGGCACAGGTAACCCATCCCGGCCCAAAGATGCTGTACATTATGAACATTTTGTCTTTGAGTCAGCGGAAAGAATACTTGAAGATCATTTTTTTAGAACATATAAAAACGATTAAAGATGTTTTTTTTGTGATATGTTTTGTCAGTGTTTGCTATTTATATGGCCGGCGGTATTGTGTCCCCTTTCCTATTAATCCAAAACCCTCGTTTGAAATCCGGGGGTACTCCTTTATACAGCTGATTCAATTAAGGTTGCTTTAGGTAATGGTAATTCCGCACTGGGAATCTATTGTTTGGTGGTCACTCAAGCAAATTATAGCATTGTTGTGTATGCTCAAATGTCCAATGCCCAATCGCCAATGACCAATCAGGCCAAAGCATCCTTTATTGAATTGCGTGTATAAGCCACCCCAGAGGGAATGGTTTTGCGTCTTTTCAATTTGAAATCGGGTATTAACTTTGCCCCATTTTAGTCTGGAATCGGGCATGGTTTAAGAGGGAGCAACGGGAGTGTATGAGCGTATTTTTCGTTTCAATTCAAAATAAACACAGAAAGAAAGAGTAATATACGAATTCAAAGTGCATTTTAAAAACCTTTTTTGTTGGCGGTCTAATCTAAGTAATGATGTCATAAGAAGGTCTGAAAACGGGTTTGGATGTTAGAGGCTTGGTTAGCTAGGTGTGAAAACGGGTGTGGAAAATAACATTTTGTGGTCTGAAACAGGGTAACGATTACGAGAACCGAGTGGCACACCCCACCAGGAATTCTCAGGAGTACCTCCTTCCGGCGTTTAAAAACTGATTGCACTAAAATCTCAGCTCTAGAAGGCGAAACTACGAGCTCAAATGATAACTTTAACTTTAACTGCAATCAGTTTTCAAACGCCGGAGGAAATGTTTGGTTACAATCAGCGATTACTTGCTCTCTCTTACTGGTTTACGAACATATGTAGCTCTTTCATTGGACTCGTCGTATAACATTCACCTTTGGTGGTTGATTTATACCAACAGCCAAAAATGATTGTGGAACGTGTTAGAAGTTTTAGTTTTCTGGAAAGACATGTTTAAGTATAAAACATGAGGAAGTGGCATGGTATTTTAATGGCACCATACCGTGATTTGAAATATCAAACCCACTATTCCACCGGTTAAAACCGTACCGCCATGGGGTTTGTGCTGATATCGCCGAGTGAACGAATTTATAGCTAACAGAAACTGGGATGAACTCGTTCCAGTATGAAAGTCCGACCTTGTTTCCAGGCGTCTCCTCAACCTTCAAAATTGCATCTCACCGTTTTCACAAAGACCAAAATGCACCTTGTTTCGCGCCCAAAATTTTCCAAAACTGTTGTTCCCAATTTCTCCTTTGTATTACAGTCGTCCCATTTAAAATGTTGGAGGGTAAACAAGGTGCATTGTGGTCTATGTGAAAATGGTGAATGACAGAGGAAAGTTCTCGCAGCTCTCATTGGAAACCAAGAGGATCCTGGGGACGAGTTTGCACGACATTCATCAAATAGAGAGAAGTCGTTACGTCACGTTACCATGGAAGCAAAATTTCTGGATGACAACAAACCGAAAACGTCACTGTTAGAAACTTCTATCTATTATGCCTCGTGTTGAACCGTCCAGTTACAATCTTAGGAGAGAAACTTGTTTTAAACCTAAGATTAACACAATGCGTTTTAAAAACTATTTTAATTTATCAATCGTTTAGTTTTTAAATATGAATTAGCTATGTAATATACTAGATTTTTTAATTCTTACTCTTTACCATTTTAAAATTTCTTACACTTACTTGTAACAGATATGTATTTTTATCTTTTGCAGTCGTGCAAAGACGGCTAAGAAATTTACAAAAAAGCGTGATGCACGTGCAAAGTTGTTGTTTTCCTAATCTCAACTAATTGCGTTTTTGCCGTTCTCGTTGCCGTTGCCGTCGTGGTGCTTTTGCGTCGTATTTTCTCGATTTTTTTGCGGTTTTCTTTCCTCACCCGGGCGGTATACTGTACACTTACAGCCTTACAGCCCTATAACAGTCACGTGTTATGGCCAATGACGATGTTATGACACCACAACAGGAATCAAACATACCCCGGTATCGCTCAAAACCTGATGTTTTTAGTAGAATTAATTCAAAGTATACCTTAGCGTTAAAATGTATTTGTTCTCACTGATTCTTGTCAGTGAATAGAGCACCATATACATGACAGGTGATACGATGTCAGAAATCACATGGTCTGTGCGCTTCATTAAACAACGTGGACTGTGCACCGAATAACAAAACAATAGCAAGATAATATATTTTTATCGGACATACACGTAATGTTCCTCAACTATTAAGCCATGTCTGCAGGCAATTATACTCTAAAAAGGAATTGTGGTAAGAAATGTAAATCTAAAAAATATTCCTTTAGATTCAAATTCCTTTATGTTACATACTTTTTTAATTGTGATACCTGTGTTAGAGCTTAACTAAACATCCCGTTTTAACGTCCAAAGCTAACTTGCTTTTTCTCTAATGTTGTGCTATTGTTAGCAGAAAAGGTTGTAAACTGATAAGGGGAACTATAAGGGGACAACTGAAGAATTTCGAACTGAAGTGCATGATCCGGAAAACTACCTTAATGGTGTTAACCCGCTTGAATGCAAACAGTTTCTGTCATTCCAAATACAAAGCATAAAGCTTACTGTTACCTAAAACGAGATTGTCTCGACCCAAATCCTTAAAAGCGTTTTCATAGCTGGGAAGTCGTTTATAAGTTTCTTAACTTACAAGTAAGCCTTCCTAACCTCTTCGCTGCTGGGTTCTTTGAATGTCGTTTGTGCTGTGATACAGCTCTTTTATTTTATTTGTCTTTTAATATGATTTTTGAGATTATAATGTGGATCTGTCGCTTTGAATCGGGGTAGAAGAAAACGTGCGAGATATAGTTTTTTTGGGGGCCTTTTTTGCCGAGAAGGATGGCCCCTTGTTTTACCACTAAAGGTTATAGAGGGTTACGTTTCTTATCCCCTATCTCTTTGCAATTGGCCAAAAAAATGTCGCGCCACATGTTTAACCAATCAAAAGTAGAGGAAAAACCATCGGTGCCCGTTGCTCGTATATAATTTCCCGCGCTCAGCATCGCTCACCTGTATTTACTTTTAGTCGAGTGCTGATTGGCTCTTTTGATTTTCTGCCACCGATCTGATTGGCTAAGCAACTACTTCCGTTTTAGTGTTATAGACTTTAAGGATTTTAAACTTCCTTGTGTTTCTACAGACTTCTACACGCCGATTCTAGCGGTATGCCTATAAATTGTACTGATAATATATTTGAAGTTTTACATAATGACTGAGCATTTGAGGTTTAAGCTAATCCATAACAGATGCTTTCTTTTATTTTCCCGGTTAGATTGATTGCTAGCAAGTACTGACAAATCTAGACTTACTCCAAACAAACAACATCTTGGCACCTCTGTATTTGGTCAAATGATATTTGTTAATAAACGAGCATCTGGTAGGAGGCTTTTTCTATGACAGAATCTCACAGGCATAACGTGCATTCAGAATACACAATCAGCGTGTACGACTTCGACAACAACTTACATAGAGCATTTCACAGCGTTCTCCGCTGTCCACCAGAACTTTGGCGAAACATCCTGCAATTCTGCGCGTCTCTCCAACTACAGGCGTTTCGAGTCAGGACTCTGCGAGGAATACCCCGGATATTTGTCTTGCGTAGAGCATTTTTCCTCTTCTGGACATTAACTGTGATACTGTTTGTGTACCTCAAGTGGTATTTTCCTTTATATTTGACCAGCACCGTTAGTCGTAACAGTTTAGAGGAATTTGGCAGAGACTGGTGTCGAGTGCGGAGGGTCGAAACGGATTGGGAACTAGTCAGTAGCCCTTGCAGAGGAATGACAAAGTTTAGCGTCAGTCTTCCAGGATGGGGACTGGAAAATAGGACGGACCCTGCTCAGAGTTATATTCCTATTATGGACATTAAACCCGCAGGTGACTTTAGCAGGTTTAGTATTCAGTCCCAGACATCTAACGGCCAACCAAAGACAGTGGGAGGTGATGACTGGCGAGTCTTTATTTGGGGACCAACTGCGCTTGCTCCGACTGTGATTGATCACGAGAATGGAACGTATGAGGTGCTTTTCCTTATCTTGGAGCCTGGGACCTACCATGTATCAGTTGTTCTTGATTACTCGTTATGTGACGGGATGAGGAATCCGCCAGATTACTGGTTTATGCTAGGTATGTTGCCATGGTGACCAATCCAGGTTGACAGGTGTGAGTTGGAGGTCGTAGGAAAGGGTAGAATTAGAGGATAAGAACAGGATTCTAGAAAACTGTCCACCTATCCCTCCCCCAACCCAAACTTTTGCCCTAAGCAAGAAGTTAGTGTTGTTGTTGGCTTAGGGGAGGGTGGAGTGGGGAGTTTCCCAGAATCTCATACTTATCCGAATAAAAAATAAAGGAAAACGTGTGACCATGTATGAGTTCCAAATTCTTGAGGCGAGTTGAAATCATGGTATGGGTAAGGTTTCTAAGCACTTACAACAACAGAAAGATGAAAACTGTACTAATCGAACTAAGTATAATTCTTTACTCTTCACACCCATTCTTTTATGTCTATTCTGTGTCCACGCACATCATCCACGTTAATCAGTTTACTATACCTGAGCCACTGTCCTTACGGAGCCCTTGATTTTTATCATGGGTTGAAAAAATCCAGCAGAAAGATTGCCACAACTGTTTTAGGCATTGAACTCCTTCTTTTAATTTCTTAGGAAATATCCATGGCAACGGGCAGCCGCATGGAATTCTATGGGAACCTTATGTCTACTTGCAAACACCTCTGTGGGAAGGGATACCGCTGACCATAACGGTACCACCACCGTCAGGACCCACAAGATACGAAGGTGAGATTAGGTACCAGGGCAATCACAATATATGTTAAATTAGATGGAATTTTGGCAAACACTGGTCTCATAAATTGCTCAATACGTGGTGTAAACCTCTTAACACATTCTTTAGTGGAACATGTCTCTTGCATGCGCTTTAAACACTGAAATATATTGACATTTTCCTGACAAAATTTCTCTTCAGAATTTCTGAGTTACGGGTTTGGAATTCCTTCGTCATGTAACCGAAACTGTAAACTATTATGGGATAGCTTTGGGCGCTGGATCAATGGGACATGGAAACCACAGGTGGCAGGTGATAAACTCAATACTCATCACATCAGGCTCTGTCATGGTGTTCAAAAGCCTTAGTTGAAATACAGTGGAAACCCGTTAATACGGTCACCAATGGGTCAAAAAAATGGGCCGTATTAAAGTGGGATGGCCGTATTATCGAGGCAGGCTCAAATTCCACGACTTGAGAACCGTAATCGCAAAGTACACCGTACATCGCATTTGCATTCTTGAACAACTGTTCGCATTAATGAACAAGCGGAGTGAAGATATCTCGTACAGTAATTGAAAAGACTACTTAAAAATTTCCTTTAGTAAAATAAAACACTTTCAAAACTTAGCTATAAAATCGCAACAAGTGCACTTTATGTGTTCTGTAGTCTAAAAACAGTAAAAAAATAGGCTCAGAGTACTAGGTCAATAAAATTGGCATGTCACGGGCATTTTAATTTTCTAAATTTCGAACAAGTGGCCGTATTAACTGGGTCAAATTGAAAGAGATTCTACTGTTTGGGATTTTAAAATGTGGCCGTTGGTCGTATTAACGGTTTTTTTTATAAGGAAATGTATGACCGTTTTGCCGGGTCGAAAAGGAGTGGCCGTTATAACGGAGTGACCGTATTACCGAGGTGGCTGTAAGGCGGGGTTCAACTGTATGCCGAGATAAACGTTTTCAAACCTTCCTCTTCGCTGGATAGAAGACGTGCCTACAAGCCTGAAGTTCCTAGTTAGGTTGATTCTTAAGTATGAAGAAGCCTTGTCCACTACTATAATAGCCTTACATTTCTTTAATTCTTTTAGACAAGACTAAGAGCGGAGCTTTCGCTTAAGACTGACCGTTTAATTATGTACAACAATGAACTACTAACTAATTCCAAAAAAGTTATATACCTACTGAACCTTAACCTTACCTTCTATATTACGCTTATGTGCATAACTTTAATTATAAGGCCATAGCCCCCAGGACTAATCAGTTTCAAGATGTGGTGGGTTTTTCTTCTAAGCAATATATCCATTCCTTTGACTACATCATAATCCAAAACTATATCATAATAGGCTCGTACAGTTTTCATTGCATGCGTCTTTTTTCTCTCTCAATGTAAAAAGAAATGCTTAAAATGCATTCACATTTATACCCTCAAATCCTTGTTCTTTTTTTTCGCAGGATTATGGCGGGAAACTTCGCCAAGGCATCGAAAGGGAATTCTATGGATTTATGGGGATTCAAACGCAGGGAGATTTTATCGCTCTATCCGCAAGACGCCTCTTTGCAAAACAGTTTTTAGAGGCTGTACCTTTTCTTACAACTGGATTTATCCAATTAAAAACGCTACCGTAGAAATGAACCAAAGAAACTTTCTTCCTATCAATATAACCCGAGCCTTAAAAGCTATCGCAAATGTCATTCACTCTTCTCACATGAACGACAAAAACAGCGTTATTCTTCTCAATCATGGCCTACATTTTATAACTTCGACAAACTTTTCAACCTATCGTGTAGTAATCGATAGGATCGTCGATTTGTTTAAAGAGACAAAGAAAAGTGATCAAGGTGAAGAAGAACTAAAATTCAAGGGGAAAATGATCTGGAAGACAAACGCGGCCATACACCGAGAAAGACTGAGACTCCCGCATCACCACAAAAGGAGGTTTTTAACGCGACAGGTATTGCTGACTTTTTGTGACCAGCATCAAATTTCTCCCTGTAATATCAATGCTTTGTAAACAGAGTGGTCATGAGAATTACGCAAATGATCACACCAGATGAATTTTCCTGATATTTATCAACTTCTCCGCAATACTTTTGTAGGAAATGAATAGGGGCAACAAATGAGAATTCAAATTTTGATCTTAAGGTTTAAAGGGCTAACATAGGAACAATACGGGCTTTTCACTGACTCAACCAAAAAAAAAGTACGCAAATGAGAAAAGCAAAACTAATTGTCACCGGTGAAATTATGATTGAATATATACCTCTGAGGATACGAATCGTTCGGGGTAGGATATCTTTTTTGACGGCTTTAGCTGTTTTTTTTTTAAAGTCGTTTATTAGAAGATAAAAGCCGCATTTATATATTTTATCAACTAATTGTTTTTCAGTCTTGTCAGTCTTGAAGCTGATTTTGAGAAAAAACAAACGAACAAAAACTGACACAAAAACAAAACAAAACAAAACAATAAAATTACTTAAGCTTCTTAGACCACTAAAATTGTATGAAAAACCTGTAAGACATTATTCAATACTTTTTGTCAAACATTGAGGTTGCACTGAATAATTCTGTGTCATCTGTTTTTTTGCAGCGAGTGCAGCTATACAATTCTTACGCAGCCTGGGCCATGTGTAGAGCAGGTTTTGAGGTGTTAGATGTTTACCCACTTAGCGCGTCCTTTCCGAATGGTACAGACAGCAGTTACGATCCGTACGACAGTGTGCATTACAAAGACAGCGTGTTTAAGCCAGCGGAGGAAATTCTTCTGGAGTATTTTAAGCCTTGGATTGACGAACACAATGACGAAAGAAAACATCCTCGTCACTAGGGCACCTCATGTGCATGCGCTTACTGCGAGCGCAAATTATACGTAGCGGAACCCGGAAATCAACCGTTTGAGTAAACAGAAAGAGATTACTTTGGTGATATTTGGGGTCGTATATACCAGTCGAAAGGATACTCATTTCGCAATAAAAGTTTAAAATGGATCGCTAAGGATGCTAGGGAAGAATTACCTTCTGACCAAATCAGTCAGTTTTCGTCATCAAACCAGAGGGCTGGGTCGTATGGGGATAGACAAGAGTTTGAAGTCGAGAATGAAACCGGTCAAGTCACTTGCGATGAAATTGAACTTAAACATGCGCAGAATAAAAGGTACCAAAAGCATCGTGTTAGAGTATCAAGACCAATCAGGTTACTATTGAGATTGGTATTAAAGATACTGGGTCCGTTTTATTATTGATCGTACCCTCTCTAACGCGTCCTGTTATAAGAAGTCGGGTTAGGTTGCCTAGAATCATAAATTGATCCAAAAGATGAAGGGCTAGGTTAGTGTCATCTAGGTTAGTGTTATCGGGCTCGTTGGACACTAAAGTTTCGGGGGTATTAAAATGCAAAAAGACTTTTTTAGCGGGGACTAGCTGTAGCCTTTTCACAAAGACAACTTCTTCTAGACCGACTGGTTATTTATTACTCAGCAGTGTAATATCCTTTTAGCTTCTTGTTCTTACAATTCTCTCTGGTAAATAAATGCTACACCCATTTTTGTATCAGCCAGATTAGTTCAAACTAATGCTGACGCAAGTCTTCTCTGATTGGTTTAATCAGGCTCATTAGCATGAAACCTTCAAGATGATTACTTTGTCAAAATGGTTTTTCTAACTAAGTTTTCACTATTAAGCCTAAGTCAACTGGCCAATACAAGACAAGGGAAGCAATATAAAAAGTACAAGGTACGTAGCTGTATACAGACTTTTCATGTTAACTGATAGGAAAGTACTAAGATTATAGTTTGAAAATCCTGGCTTGTTGTCGACTTCGGAGAGCTGTGAAGCTTCTTCTCGGAAAGTGATTGGTCAGAACGTTTCCATAAATTAACTACGGACATGACTGGAAACTAAGAGGACAAATTAAAAATGCAGTTCGCTGTAGAGAGCAGAAATTACCACAACAGATGTTTACTTACACCAACACCTGTGCATTGAGAGATATTCCATACCATTATTATTTTAAGTTGCAAGTAGAAACCATCAGCTATATGAATTCGATGGAAAACACGGTAAATAAGCCAAAAATTAACCAAAATAAGGATAGAGGTCATTTCCTGGAAATGTAGACGAGGAGTCAAGTTAAGGTTGAATCTGATCAAACAATGCGATATTTTTAAATGCAAACAAGCCTTTTTTGGGAACCTTAATTAAATATTGTTTTACGAGAAGAGGGTTGTAGTGGAAGTGTACTAAAAAAGAACATATTTGTTTAAGAACGAATTCATGAAAGGAGAAGGTTTATGTTGATGACTATTTTAAACGTCGAACTCTGGTTTGCACGTGACGTCACGGCGGCCATGTTGGATGACCAGAACAAAAGCATTTCTCTCCTCTGGGAACTTAAACTCTATTTTCATGCAAATTCTTAAAGGAAAACTTGTCATCCAACATGGCCGCCTTGTCAGGTGGTTGCAAACCAAGAATTCTAAACAACTGATAAGTGAATATTCGTGATACCTGACATTACATCCCGTTAAAATATCCCTTAGTTAACTTATCGTACTGTAACCACTTAAGAACATCCTCTTAATTTTAAGCATAAATCAAACTGCGTAAGGGTAAACTAGATCATTGCTTACATTTTTATTGTTTAACAAAGATACCGGGTCCATTTTACCCTTCCTACTAAACGGGTCCTGTTATAAGAAGTCCGGCTCGTTTGCCCAGAAACATAAATGGCGTAGCGCGCGAATAACGTCAAACTCACTAATATTCAATTTTTGTCTGAGTTTTGTCATTGTTCTCATTTTAATGTAAAAAGACAGACAGACATGAAATTCCAAAGAAAAAAAGTCAGAAAAAAGTGAGGAATTTCGCTAATGTTAATTTCAGGTTGTCTGTCTGAATTTCGGGTCTATAAATAGTTACTGCGCGCAGCGCTATTGATCCCCGTAACGCGACACCGACTCTCATTTGCTTTCCTCACTCGTTTGACCGTTTAAAAGTTCTACGCTTCAGATTTACGGTGTGATTAGGACTTCGACTCCGTCCCTGGTGAAAATCGCCCCTTAGAGGAAGAATTGTTTTACTCGGAAGACAGACTCGGAAGGTATTGTTCTGTCCCTTGCTTTTGCCCCTCACATTTACAGTGTTCGTTCATATTCAAAATGCGGGTCGTGTAAGTCATGTGTATTATGTTTCGAGACAAATCGATTACAGGTTTTTTTAAGTTCACATTTCGCGATGGCATTAGTTTTTATCTCCATAAAAAGTTATTTATGTATAGCACGAAACTTTACGCGAACTACGTGAACTGTGAACTTTCAAAGGTTTATCATGTTTATCGAAACTCGCTGATGCTGACATCAATAATTCTAAGCGGTACTGTAAAATTTGTATCTATTCGGCCATCCTAGGGAAACTTGAGTGTTTTCGAAATTACAAGGGCTTGAGTATTATTTTCCCGAAATTTTAGGTGAAATTTGTATAGGTAATAGCATGATTTGTAGTGATATTTTGCATAAATAGTACAAGTGATATTTCGGAAAATTTGGGACAATTTCGAAATATCACGAGTGGTATTTATGCCAAATATTACGTACAAATCATGCTATTATTTGTTTATACTACTACCCGCAAAGGTTTCGTAATTTTCGCATTTAGGTCCCGCCCCATTTCAAATTAAGCTGAAATACCACTGCACTGCTCTGCAGAAATTTCTCATGACTTATTACGACAGTGAGACATTTCCTAATTCCTCTCTACATCACATTTTGAATCCGAAAATTTGGGGTTTCCTTTTTCTACGAAAAATAGCCTTAGTTGGGAAGTAAAATGCGAAAATTAAACTTCAGAAAATCGTAGGGAATTTATAAGTGAAGCTTCGAAAATTGTACATGAAACGGTCATCTAGAAATTTTTAGTCTTCCTCAAGGAATAAAAAATTATAGGCAATATTTGCTTCTCCGAACAGACATTTTATTGAAAACAGTCGTTGAGTACCCCTGAATGGGCAAACACACGGAATTGATCGGCTCTCTTCTCTCGCTGATATTTTCTCCTATTTAACCCTGTTTTTTGCCTTTTTCCCTCACTGCGGAGCCTGGTGCCAGGCTGGGAGAAGCATAACAAACTAGACTCGATTTTAACCGGCGCTCCCATATGAACCTCCAAGCGGGTAAGGATAAAATATTGGGTAGGTTATGGTGTAGGCCATGATGTAGCGTGGTCAATTTTTCAAAACAAAAATCAAGAATTTAATAACTTTTTAGTAATATTTATGCTACCGTTTTAGCTTTATGCTATCGTCGGCATAAGAATGAATGATGGTAAGATTGTTCTCGGTCTGATAGTTCTTAGGGCTTTTTAAAAAGGTGAAATAGGATATTATGCTCTGTTATTTTAAAGATGTAAGGTATTTGCATTCGTGAGGCCCGAGTGGCCTTTCAAAAATCATATTACCGGAAAAATGCTCTGTTTCACTTTTACTATGAAAATATTCAATTAAAATGTCACAAATTTCCATATATTCAAACACTGGTATTTTTAAAACTTTAACTTTAATATGGTAATTTCGTTACGACATCTCTGTGTTTAATCTTTGCCAGAAATTACTGCACAATAGTCCCAGAACCGTATCTGAAGACGCTTTAACTTTGCCTATGGCCTCTGAATCAACCTTACGTGCTATAGTGCACGTGCAATTTACCTGGAAGGGAAGGGGGGGGGGGGTACTTGGGTAAATTTTTCCTGGGTATGTGCCGCTGTCCTCTCAGAGCCCCTACCCCATTATAGTCTATTCTGTGGCCAATTATAGACCCCATCTTAGTCACTTTTGGGTAAATATGTAATTTTCGAGATCCCAACTTAGTCACTTTCTATTTTTATGAACTGACTCATTTTTTAAAACTGAAAACAGTACAAACATTCTGGTACGTTTGCTACCCGTAAATATGAAGAACAGCCTTACCTCAAAGGAACAGAATCTAATGGGATAAAATTTTTTCCGCGATTTGCGATATTTAATCCTGAATTAGCGATAATCGGCTTTCCAGGAACCTGGGCCTGGTTACTAGTACAGATTATAATGCTCAACAAATAAAAAGCGACAGGAGACCCATTTGTTACTGAGTTTAACTTGCTTTCAAATCTTTAGGTACCATGATAGTTTATGCAGTAGCAGGTGTTATTGCATTTGTGGCCATATTATGCATCATATTGCCTGAGAAGAAAAAGAGGTTTCCAAAGGAGTATCTCCATGATAATGGACGCCCCTTAGGTTTTTTGGAAGACACTTTGCGACGCTTTCATGATGAGAATGGTTTTTTGATTCTTGCTAATGCTCTGGTTTTGCGAACCAAGAAACCACTGCAAGAACCTGTAGTGAAGAAAGCCTTGGAGCTTCTGGCAGAGAGACATCCTATGCTGCGCATGTGCATTAGAAAGAACAACGATAGTGATTATTGTTTTCAGAAAAGACACAATGTTCTCGTGGATCTGCGTCAACTTGACACCTCAAACTGGCGCAACGTTATGGAGGAGAATTTCTTGGAGAAATTTGATGTGGAAAATGGTCCTCTTTGGAGGTTAACATTCCTTCCCAATGCAAGATATGAGACAGAAACAGGAAGTGACGTTAACGATCCATCTTTTCCTCATGAGTGCATTTGCATTTTTTGCTTTCACCACAGCATAATAGATGGCACATCTTATACAAGACTTTTTGCGGAATTTGTTCACCATCTGAATAAACTGAACAAGAAAGAGGAGCCTAAAGTAACAACAATGCCCATGTTGCCACCTTGTGATGTATATGTGGATGAAGTAATTCAGACAAAATGGTACCATATCGCAATGAAATTAGCTGTGAAACTATTGTGCTTCATACCGGGCCTCACAAAATTTATTACAATTGCAATGGAAGAAAAAGAAAATGCTTTTAGTAGAAAATATGGCATGGAGATCCAAAGAAATCCTCAGATTCAACCAAGAACCAAGATTATTCCCATCGAGTTTACAAAGGAAGAAACGACAACTTTTCTGAAGCGTTGCAAAGAGTGGCAGACCACGGTGCAGGGAGCCGTTCAAACGGCAGCAAGTGTAGCAATGGTAGATATGATGGAGGAACGCGAGTTTGAAGTGGAGGCTACAGTTACAGTTAATAGCAGACCATTCTTCAAAACCAAAGTTCCGAATGAGTACATTGGACCATACTTTTGTCGTCTCTCTTGTAGAAACAAAATTCTTTCTTCCCCAAATCCTGAACAGTTCTGGAAAATAGCTAAGGTCACTTCCGAAGATATCCATGCTAGGCTCAAGTTAAACAAACACCTGGAAGGTATGAAAATGTCTTTTATCATGCGACCAGTATTTACTCAGATGTCAAGAGAGGGCGAAAGTGATCGAGGTGGTCGGGATCGCACATCTCTGTTGGTCTTCTCAAACCTTGGCTACTGCAAATTTCTTGATGGAACTCCAGATGATGACGTCATCCTTAGAGCAATGTACGGCTGCTCTGCAGAACACCAACAAGGACCCGCCATCTTTGGCAACAACATGGCCACATTCAACGGAAAACTTTTTTGGACGGTTGTGTATTATAGCAACCTTGTAAGTGATGCCACCGCCCAGAAATATGCTGTTTTAGTCAAAGAAACTATCCTTAAGGCAATCAAGAACCGCTAAATGTGGCCCAAGGCTCGGCGACTTAGCTGCAAAAGGTTGCAAAAATACTTGAGACACTTTACCTTGCTCGGCTTTTGTGGTCTTTCTATGATCTTGTCTTTGTGACCCTCATCCTTCCCTTGTGAAAATTGCTAGCAAATACAAGAGCGAACTGTAGTGTTTTCGTGTTTAATTAACAAAAACTTGATCACGTGACTAACCATTGCAAAAGGCCTATTAAGAATGAACATGACGAGCTTTTTGCCGCTCAAAACCTGTTATTATGCAAATTAGCTGAGGGTACATTAATGTTCCCTCAGTTAATTTGCATTAAAACCCATTTAATACGATAACAAGCTTTTTGGGTTGAATAATATTTGAATTCGATTGAAATCGTGGTCTTTTCGGCGCCCAGTCTAGAGGCCCGAACTTGATATTCGTCGTATCGCCAAAATATTTATTCAGTGAAACTAAAATTTATATTTTCATTACTAGAATACCTAGGGTAGTCTACAGAATGTTTGGGGGATGTTTCAAAAATATTACATTTTCCACCTCTTGTTGATATTTACAGACATCCGCTCAGTAAAGTAGTATAGAACTTTTACCTCAATTTGAAAAATTTAACCACTTGCAAGTTTAACGGTTTTATAAGTCATAGGTGTAAATGTTAAATGTAGCAGGAAGTTAACTGTAGTTGTCAAGTATCCACTACCCAGGATACTACAGCATTCAGGGCCGTAGTTAGGTTTTTTGTAACGGGGGGCGGGGGGCATTATTGCGAGTGCCCAAGGCTGGTGAAAGCCTTGTACGGGGGACTGGTGGTATCCTCCCCCAGAAAATGTTTAAATTTGGAGGCGCCGCGACGCTATTTTCAGCACTTTTCACGAAATATGTCTTCGAAACATCGACCTCGAATAAGTGTAAAAAGGCAGGTGTTTTCAGTGCTTACAAGTGATTATATCCGAGGTCCTGTTAATTAATTTAAAACACACCGTACATCCAAGCACTTGTACACTCACTAAACATTTCAAAATACTGCATGATGTTTGGCTAACTAACCTATAAAAGATGTGTCAAGTTTGATTTTCTTTCATAAATATCCTTTGGCTTTAGCATGTAGTTGGTTCCACGATGAAATGCGACGCCGCTGAGACCTTCTTTTGTCATTGAAGAACCTGCCCATAGCTTCAGACGACGGAGAGTAGAGAAGAAGGATCTTTCACAAGAAACACTACCAACTGGAGTGGTGAGGAAAATCGTAATAGGGGGTTTTGCTTTCGTTTGCTTAATTACTACTTGCACAGACCGTGGATCAACCAATTTCTCGGCCATGAAAATGGCAAACAATTGCAAGTCACTACAATAAAAAAAAAACAAATCCATCCACAAACTTGATTTGTCTGGCTCAACAGGTCCAGTGGGGACAGCCGCTTATTTCTTTTTTGAGAAATATGGCTCGTTCTGACTATCCCTTGATTTGGAATTCGATGTTTGTTTATGGAGTGGAATTTTCGTCTGTTATAAGAGGTCATCATGTTTACGAAGCGTCATGGTCCGCAGAGAGTCTCTGGCATGCAGGAAAGATGACCGTGAAGAATTAGATAAAGAATACAATGAATACGCAATTGGGACTTACCTTGAAGCCCGGCCTTAAAGCTGATAACAAATATGTTGAGCATGTGCCAATGGGACTTTCATTCTTTATATTTCCTACATTCATCTTCTTAAAGCTCGCCAAAGTGCCAGTCAAGGTGACTGGATCAAGGAGACTGGAAAACGGACTTGTTGTCTCTGGATCCTTCCTCACCAGAACGACCAGCCGAGTCATGATCCGCGCCACAAAATTTGAAGAAAAGATCGTTCGTTTGAAGAGTTTATGCGTTCACATGGACATAAAAAAGCGCAAAAGGGAAAAGGGAGAGGAAGTCCCTTTCCTTCTCTCCACAATCTCCTCTCCCTTTTCCTTCCCCACCCCCCTCCTTTTCGACGCGATGCCTTTCACGGAGGTTGGAAGAGGTTTGCATGAAAGAGAGCAGCACCTGTTAACGCCTTGTCAATTTCTAAAAGTCTTCTTTTCATCAAAATAAAACTGAAAAGTTGTATATACTAAAATGGTTTGGACGACGGTACACAGTTAAGGTAATAGACGAGGGAAGCCGTCTATGAAACCAACGGGGATATATATAGAAAGATCCTGGAATAAATCGCGCACACTGCGATTCTCGAAGGCGGTCGATTTAACAAACCTCGCATAAACACCCGCTATCACAAAATACCAACTAAATATACATAAACTGCTGGTAAATGTTGACAGTAATGCCAAAAGGGTAAAGGTTCAGGTAAAACAACCATATTGTACGTCGATAACCCGTGACACTCATTCGTGATCAATTGATTAATTTGAGGCCGACCTTGCACTCATTTTACACCCCTTCTTAGCTCTCCATCTGTGCTCCGTTTTAAGGGTGTATTAAAGTTAGTTAAAGCTACCACAACAGTTATAACAAAAACCATTGGCAAGTAAAAATTACGGAACGGAACCAAGACATTTTTTGAATTTCAGTGATGAAAACCCTTTGATTTGCCACTCCTGATGCTGGAAACTGTGTCATCATCGCTACATTAGGCAAATTATGATTTCAAGATTCCTGAGCTGTGGGATAGAATATGTGCATTTTCGGATATTTTGTAGGTAATTACAGGAAAGGGAAACTGAAAGTTATCTAACAATCAGTTGATGCTTTGGTCAGTTTTACCGCTGTACTATTAGATAAATGTACGTGTCTTTTTCTAGATATCCTTTAGAAAGCTTCCGCTACCTTTGAGCTTTTCACAATTCGCAGTTTATCGGAGGATAAGCAAATATTGTATCGAAATGATAAAACGTATTAAAAGTCTTTTATGATATATAAAAAGGGTTTTAGCGGAGCTCCACGCGCGCGAAGCGCGCGCGTGGGCGGAGCCCCATAGCTAAGAAAATCTACCCTTCCCAGAAAATTTGGTAATCACGTGACCGACCGACCGACCGACCGACCGTCCGTCCGCACCACAGGACAACCAATGTTTACTCTCACACTTTCTAGCTACTTTGGGAGCCCAGGAGAAAGCTGATTGCACATCAATGTTGTCATCAACTGACAGCTGTCAAAACAGGGTATCCGCTGACCATTATCACCTGACCGAATCGCGGGCTCAGGTGTCGACCCATCGAGGTCGAGTATTTTTTGAAGTTATCCGCTGACAATTTTCTCGTTTTCAATTGATCGCAGGCTCACGTTTACTTTTGTTTTAAATTCATATCAAATATGTTGTGTTTATGTCAGTATCGCCCCGCACTATTACGATTTTGATTTCAAACTGACTTCAGACGCAAAAGTTCAGCCAGTGTTTTTAAAATACAGGGGCCGGTTGCTCGAAGCCTGGTTAGCGCTAACCGTTGGTTAAGAGGTATCAAAATGTATAGGTTTCCATGGTATTTAACGCTGGTTAGCACTAACCATGCTTCGAGCAACCCTGGCCAGGCGGAGAAGACCTTTTCTTACCATGGGCACGTGTTGGTCACGCTCCACGTCCAATTTTTATGCTCTGATTGGTTAAAATTTGACAGGTGAGTTCATGCGTAAAATTTATGCAGCATCTTGAAAGTTGTTTACTTTGACAGCTGAAGCTGACAGAGTTTTGAGTCAACTTGTGATGTTTTTAACTGTCTTTTTTCACTGGATGTACAAAATGAAATACAGCTGTTATCAAGAGTGTTGTCTCATTCATGGCTGGTTCGTTTTTTGGGTTTTTGGTTGAAAAATGGGTCGCTTGTCAAAGCCGATAATCCGATTTCGGATGGCATCGTTTTTGTTTTTCACCTAGCTGGATGCGTACGAGAATTACAAAGGCTCAAGCGATCCTTGCCTTACTTGATAGCTTTCAGGAGCTGCATCTCGAAATATGGTAAGCCTGAGTAATTATTGTATTTAAATCTAATTTCATGAAGTCCAGCTGCGCAGTTTATGAATGCAATATATATTGAATGAATGCAATTTGTCTTGAAAAATTGTGAAATACTGCATTTTGTACGAGGTCTGTATGATAAAAACAGCGCCTCATAGTACTCTTTCTCCTCAGACGTGGTGTATAAAAAAAAGATTGGTTTGCACGCACCCAGATTTATTGGCAAGAATTTGTAAACTTGTCGAACGCAAAAAAATCGCTCTGATTTGTTTTCCAAGAATTTGTTTTGCACGCCTTATCTACTGTGATCAAGAGCCATCATTGCTCTTAAATGTGACCGAAGACTATTTTTTGGGTGTACATATAAGGCTATATCAACTCGATACAAAATTTGTTTCACTCCAAAATCACTTAGCTTTTCCCTCAAAAGTCACATGAATGTGCCCTTGCGTTAACTGATTTGTGGAATACAAAATTATTGTTTGATTTAAGTTATAAATTTATCAATGGGAGCTTCGCTTTTAGCTGTGGCTAAATATATATATTATATTATACATTGAGACGGAAATCTACTTATAGAGCGTTTACACATGACGTCACGGTGGCTATATTGGTATTCCAAAACAATAAAACGGCGGCCATGTTGGTATTCCAAACCAGTCCTGTGGGAGTTGAACTCTTCTCTTATGTAAACACTTTCTTTTGTTTCCATAAATTTGCATAGATGCTGGTCACGTGAGTGAAAACGCCCTATACAGCGAAAAAAATACTTTGTTAAAACAGAACCGAAGCCTTTGCAAAGATGAATTGCACACGCGAATATGACAACACTCATGTCAATGTGAAAGGTTTGAACCCAACAGTCATTTCAAAAGTAGGTTGAGTTTGATAGTCCGGGTGAACGTAGTCCTGAATAGGACTGTTGTTGTTGACAGTGACTGACATTTCGACAACCTGTGCGTTGGTCATCTTCAGAGTCAAAGTGACTTGTATCACGTCAGTTGATGGTGTTATACTCTGGTTATTGATCTTGTTGGTCAATTACGTCACTTATGTCCATGTACTTCACAGGTTAAGTAAACATTTCCTTACTTTCGATGTCGCTTGACTTACCAAAAGTGATGTGATGCGCCGAAATATCACACTAGCATCATTTGCTTTTGTATGGTTCTTTCTTTCTGGAACTTGGCGAAACTCACGTACCGCTAGGGCCTTTGATTGGACGGATCAATTTTCTCGCATGTGGAAAACATCGTTCGCGATTTTGATTGGCGGCATCCTTTTTTGTTCGTGTGAAAAACATCTTCCGCTCCTCTGACTGGCTAGAACTTATTTGGATATGAAACTTTACGACATAGCTCGTCTATGTGTATATTTCTAGTAACTCTAATAGACTTAAAACTCGTAGCCGTTGCAAGTTTTTCCTTTCCCAATACATATAATAAACAGTTTTTCCACCTTGAAAAATGGTTACACGCGTGAGACCTTTTTAAAGAATTTATTTGAAATGATAATTAACCTTACAAGTCCCAAATGGCTTGCTCAGAGGTGTATTGACTGTTTTCGAATTCCCCACTCTGTCTGCCCCCCAAATTTTGCATAACTTATTGTCTTAAAATGCTCTTGGGAAAATGCAATACTCCCAGGAGCATTTAAAACAATGGTTTATGCAAAATTTGGGGGGCAAACAGAGTGTATTATGGGGAATTCGAAAATAGTCAATGATCCTGTTTACATGGAGTGGGGGACCCCGGTCTAGTGGGGTAAGTTTCTTTTGTTTTGTGTCCCCCAGAGCGTGAAAACAAAAGAAACCAACCCCACTAGACCGGGGTCCCCCACTCCATGTAAACAGGTCCTTAGTCGCAAACAACCTTCGTTCTTGCTACATAAGCACGTGCAGTAATAAATTTCCATCATAAACTATTATTCAAATCAAAACGTTGCTTCGCGCCACATTCAAAAATGGTAACTTCGGTGTTGCAAGCTGGAGAAGGTTGCTCACGTAGGAGAAAGAAGAGGCTGTCACATAAACGGGCTATTTGTCTTTCTCAGCTTCGCTACAAGAAAACTAACTATGAAAGCAGTCTGGGATGTTAAAACCAGCGCCTGAGGTAAATTTATATTGAAATTATTTGTTTAAAAGTTTACGGCAGTTCCCTTGAATTTGTTGGTTGTATTCTGACCAGTCCAACTTAAGCTTAAATTAGGATACTTCGTTTTCGAATGTTCTGGCTTTAAAATAATTTGGTATCAGAGGTAAAATACTGAGTAGAAGCGAAGCCAAATGCTCACTGAAAAATTTATAGTTCGTTCGTAGTTTTAGCTCGTCATGCTGGTCGTGCACGTGGCCAAAAGGAAATTTATTTCTGAAAGAAATAAATGGTTTTATGCTTAATGTGACTGATTAATGTGTCATTTCTCCAGTTACTGGGGAGGGGGCGTTCCTGTCATCCATGTCATGACATGAAAGCGAGGCACAAGACCTCTCTGCTCACTGCAACAAGAAAGTAGGAAAACATTTTTCCCTCCCTTCCCTCCCGTTTTGCTCCACTTCCATCTCCCGGATGGCGGGTGTGCCCTCACCTTTGCTGGGATAAATCTTCTTGTGTATCTGGACTTTCCTTAATATATATGCTATATATATATATATGCTTAAATGAATGCTGGTCGTGCACGTGGCCAAAATAAAGGCAAAGCTCGGTGGAACCTGTGGTGGAGACATCAATGTTCAGATCAAGTCCACACAGCAAATCCTATCTTGTTCTTCATCCAAATTCATTTTGATGACACAGCGAGGAATTCACAAGAACGACAAATTTGATTCATTTTTCTTTCCCTGCTTTACAATCGTCCCCCGACAACGAGNAATATATATGCTATATATATATATATGCTTAAATGAATGCTGGTCGTGCACGTGGCCAAAATAAAGGCAAAGCTCGGTGGAACCTGTGGTGGAGACATCAATGTTCAGATCAAGTCCACACAGCAAATCCTATCTTGTTCTTCATCCAAATTCATTTTGATGACACAGCGAGGAATTCACAAGAACGACAAATTTGATTCATTTTTCTTTCCCTGCTTTACAATCGTCCCCCGACAACGAGATTTTGACAAAGTTAATAACCTCGCCGGCAAAATGACAAATTAAAAACCACCGTACTGGACCTTTCTGAACAAGATAGACCTAAGCTATTACGGAAAACCTCAAAGTTTGTGGAAGATTCTTCCGTGGTTTTCCATTAACTAAAGCAAAAAGTGTATCCTCAAAGGTGAAAAAGCACCATCAACTTAAACTTAATTCACTGAAGATGGGAAAATGTGACTTGATACTTTTGTTGCCACAGTTTTTTAAAAACATCTTTTTAGAAATAATTACGGTGGCCCATATATGCAATGCCAGATATTTTTTTCCAGTGCACACTGAGAAATACATTTGTGCACTGAGAAATGTATGTTGTGCACTGGAGAAAAATATTTGTGCATTGCATATATGGGCCACGGTAAATAATATAATAATCATAATAATAACGATTATTTATTTTAGAAACTAGACAGTACCCGGTTTTCGCTTCCACTGGTGCAAATTCGACAACAACAACAACAACAACAACAACAACAACAATCTTTATTTGTACTCACTCTTGCTCAAACATAAATTACGACAATGAAAATATTAAAAGTAAAAATTAGGGTACCGAGAATCTTATTTCTGACGAAACAAGATACATGCAACCTTTCGTTCAAAATGATTATCAACCGTTAGGATTGATAATTAGAAGACTATTAGACAACTTACGATTTGACCATTAGAGTGCTGTTTATTAAATCCCTAAGTAACATAATTACGATACAGTTGTAAAAAAGTAATCAGTTTTCGCATTTTTAAGATTGTTTTTATTATATTTGTCCAGAATTTGGCTAAATTAATTACCCTGATCAACCATTCGCAATCAAATTTTGATTTACGAACCTCGTGATGTAAATGCATCACGCGCGAACTCATTAAAATTCTCTTATTTAAATTTGATCACGTTTTTGGTTTACATGATAGGTGGGGTGACTCGCCTAGGGTTACCTACCTGGGGTCCCCCACCTTCACGTAAACAGGCCCTAAATTTGATTAACTTCAACTTTCTCTTCGAAATAGCTAAAGTTTACGCGCAATATATTTAGCAAATTACAGTGTTCACTCGCAAGCAAATAATCGATGAATACTTTCTAGCCAGCGTTTGTTTAGAAATGCAGCTGCTAGCGGAACCATATATCGAAGCAGAGTGGAATTTGAGCACCCTGTCTTGAAAAACAGAACCCAAGAAGGGGGCTTTTTAATTATGTACATGTTACTTCTTGTATTGCATCTTATTAGTAGTTTAGAGTCAATAAGAGTCTGTGGATGACTGTTAGGACGGCTGCTGATAAACACTTAAAAGTCACTGAGACCTTACCTTTTTTCTCAGTTTATTTGGCTAGTAATACTGTTAATTAAGCTGTTCAGGAGGGCTCTAACTTCCGAGATTAGGTAAGTCAGGGCCTGTTTACATGGAGGTGGGAGACCCTCAGGTAGGTGAGGTAACATATGGCGGGTCACCCCACCCAACATGTGAACGTGATCAAATTAAAATGAGAGACTATATGGACAGGCGGGTTACCCCACCTAAGCGGGTTACCTCACCTACCTGGGGTCTTTCATCTCCATGTAAACAGGCCCTAAGTGTGACCATTCAAATGAAAATCACTTAGCAGGGAAATGGGTCATTCATTTCGAGCAGTGCAAGGCTCAGAAGGTGCCTCGCCCAGCGTACTCTCTGAGTAGCCTATATGAATAGGCTCCAGGAGTAAGCAAGTGAGGGAAATGTCCTGTCCTCGCCTTGTGCCCTGTAGCCTTCTCTTAGTGATATACTCTACATTTGAAATTGTATTTGACCACAGCATTTGCATTCACTATTAATTAAAGTAGCATTGCCTGGCAACCCTAAAATGCACCCTGACGTCACAACTTGACATCGTCAACTGCGGACACTCAAGAGATCAATAGAAATATTCGCAACGCGAGTTTCTGGCTTGCTGTGTGATCAAAAGTATGCATTGATTATGTGCTTGCGAGTGAAGACTATAATTCGCTTACTAAATTTGTCGCGTGTTGATCGCCGCCTCTTTGCCAATCAGGTTTTTCATACAACTGGATTTATCAAATTAAAAACGCTACCGTAGAAATAAACCAAAGGAACTTTCTTCCTATCAATATAACCCGAGTCTTGGAAGCTATCGCAAATGTCATTCACTCGCCTCATGTGATCACATGAACGACGAAAACAGCGTTATTCTCCTGAATCATGGCCTACGTTTTGCAACATCGACAAACTTTTCAACTTACCGAGAAGTGATCGATGGGATCGTAGATTTGTTCAAAGAAACAGAGAACAAGGAACAAGCTAAAAAGGAACTAAAATTCAAGGAGAAAAACATCTAAAGGACAAACGCCGCCATACGCCGAGAAAGACTGACACTTCCCCATCACCACAAAAGGAAGTTTTTAACACGACAGGTATTGTTAGCTCCTGTTTTAATCAATACTTTCATTTAACAAAGGAACGACACTGGCCTTTCACTTACCCAGTCTGAAAGAGAGCCGGTATACAAATGGAAAAAGCAGCCTGCCGAAACTTCCATATTTTGACTGATGAGAATAAAAAACCTCCGAAGATCGAACTATATAAGCGAATCGTTCTGGTAGGATATCTTTTTTATCGGATTAAGTTGCCTTTAAATAGTTTATTAGAGGACACAAACCATGTAAATGGTTTGATCGAAATGTAACACCCTTAGTTTTCAAAAGAAGTAAAGTATGTAATTTTGGAGATAAGCTCAGTTAAGAAAATCGGAAAATAGAGAAGTAAGTACTCTCTTTGTCGGACTGCTTTTTTGTCTACTTTTAGACAAAAAACAATGAAATTACTTAAGCTTTTTAGGCAACCGAAATGATATGGAACACCAACGAAACATAAATTCAAACGTTAACTCTCTTTGAACAATCAGGTTGCACTGAATAATTTCTTGTCGACTTTTTTTCCGCGAGTGCAGCTATACAATGCGTACGCAGCTTGGGCCCTGTGTATCCTTGTGAGCAGGTTTTGAGGAGTTAGATGTCTATCTACTAAGTGCGTCTTTTCCTAACGGTACAGACAGTAGTTACGATCCGTACGACAGAGTGCATTACAAAGAAACCGTGTTTAAACCAGCGGAGGAAATCCTTATTTTATGGAGTATTTTAGGCCTTGGAATGACGAAAAATAATGACGAAAGAAAACAGCCTTATGAGCTTAATGCGCACGCACATTATGCGTAGCGGGACCCAGAAACATCCCGTTTGAGTGAAAAGGAAGAGATTGTCTTGTGGTCGTAAATATCAGTCCACAGGATACTGATATGAAGTTGAAACTAAAACGTATGCAGAAACAAATGTCGTTGACATGCAATACGAGGGCAAATCTAAAGGTTAACGCAGATGCAAAGAACCTTGGGGTAAAAATTAAAAATGGATCTCTAAGGATGTTAACAAAGAGAAATATTTGACAAGAGCAGTCGATATTCGTCTGATCCTGGGCAGAGAGGGCTGGATCGTATGGGGACGCCTATAGTCATGCGCAATAGAAAAAAGTTTATAATTGATAATAAAATCGGTCAGGTCACTTGGGACGAAAATGACTTCAACACGTGCAGAATAAAAGGTACCAAAAACAACGTGTTAGAGTATCAGGATTATAAATTACTATTGAGATCGAAATGCTCACCTATCAGGGACAATGTTGTATGTACCTGGGCCCGGTGGCATAAAACCTACACTTAAGTGCCCACTTAAGTAGGTCACTTACGAATACGTTATGGGTACACTTGCGGGTGTTGCATGGAACGCACTTAGCACTCTCGTAAGTTACTCTTTTATGTGATAACTTACGGGCTCACTTAAAGGCACACGTAACTTTGATATAGTACTTTATTAATGACTCACTCTTTTTTTAAGCTAACCATCGGTGAGTGTAACGAAAGTTTTAATTCGTTTCGGACACTTTTAAGACTCTCAAAAAATGAAATTTGTATGCAATCGTTATTTTTCAATGTCTACTGAAAATGATAATTCTTCTTCTTTCTTCACCACGTCGGCTTTAAAGTGTACATCAGAGGTTAACAAAGCGCATTAGAACGAATAACGTGAAAAAAAATTTCTTTTTTTCACTTCTCAGTAAAAGATCTCGTTAACTTTAGTAAAAACAGTAACGATACGGGACCTACATAGGTCCCGTAAGTTTACGTGCTATTTTTCCCGTAAAAAAAGTTTTATGCAATACCCGCAATTTCTGTTGCATAACCTCACTTAAGTGAACACTTACGAAAATCGTTAGTGCAACCACTTAAGTGAATTCCCTAAGTGGACCACTTAAGTGATTTAATGCAACTCACTTAAGTTACGAGTGCACGTACCGGTACGTATACCTGTAGTTGTTACGGGCGTTTTATGCAACCGGGCCCAGGAGTTGCAAATCCGATCCTATAACCTATATTCTAACTACCCTTGTTGATAAGAGGGTACATTTGAAACGCTATATACAAGTTTCCTATTTATTGAAAACCCTTGAACGATTGATTTTTTTGACATAATTTTTACTGAAGGTATTAAATCTGTTATTATAAGCTATACCTGACATCCACCCGTGTTGTAACGAAAAAATATATCATGCCTGTCCATAACATTTGAGTTTTCCTAATGTGTGATAACCTTCCTCACGTGAATCACCCAAGTCTCCCAGTCTGATCTGAGTCACAGGAAGAGTAGATTTATCTGTCAGTAGACCGCTGTCCTGTCTCCAGCCAATTGTTGTGCTTTGATAATCGCAGTTACACTTCTTACCTCCCATACAAGAGTTTGCTACTCCGCATGCGCACATGTTGTTATATCCTGTAGCTCCACGCCAGTAGTTCATACGTGTTCCGTCACGTGACACCCACCAGGCACAGCCATGGTCAATAAAACCTACGTCATTATTGCATTCAAACTTGATAAACTGTTCACAGTTTTGTGAGACTCGAGTGAGTGCTGCCAACTGAGCAGAGCTAACTCCAGTGTAAGTCACATCTTTACTGTAACAACCTTGACATTCATATGCATATCCACTCACACGTGTCCTACCCTCACTGTCGTGACTTATGACTGTCACGCCAACTCCTCCCTTGTCACTCATATCACAATACACATTAAACGGAGCCACGCCTCCTTTGCCATCAGGGTCAATAATATAATTACCTGAAGAGCTTCCTGCTTTTATACTGCTACAGGACTTCATTATCACTTCAACAATGGAAGTCGCCTCAACAGAACGAAGTGCGTTTTTGGCCACGCAAGTATATGTTCCGGCATCGTTTGAAACCACGTTCCTGAGAAGCAAAGTTCCATTTGGATAAACCACGTGATTGTGAGGTAAAAGTTTACCAGTTCTCTTCCATGTGATCTCGGTGTTTCCTTGAGCTGAACAGTTTAACAGCATGTTGCTTGACTGTGATACAGTGACTTTCAGGGGAGGAGTAAGTATGAATGCGAGCCGTTCAAAGACCGTCACTTGAGCAACAGCGAAGTCCTGTCCGAGAAAATTCTTTGCTGAGCATGCATAATCCCCGCTATCAGCTTTAGCTATGTTACGAATTGTCAATTTCCCATGATCCACTGCAGTCTTCCCTCTTGGCAAGGAGCCAAACGCTCTCCGCCACGTTATCGTTGGTTTTGGAAGACCTGTAGCTTTACACTGCAACCTCACGTTTTCCCCTACTTCAGCAACAATAGACGAGGGTTTTTGATTGATTAAGGCAGCAACTGTAAAGTAATAAAAAATATAATAAGCCAAGAAAATAAAAACAAGTTACAAGTAAGTTAAAACAGAGGGTTCTGGGAAAACGTCTCCGAGTTCCCTTGATTAGACTGGAGTCGAACCTAGAATCTACCGATAACAGTTTCGGTCGTATTATTTTCTCCTGAGCAATGTTATAGGGGACGATTCACAACGACAATCTAGGGTGCAATGCAGCTTTGCAACATTGCAGGGAAATTTCTTCCAACTGTTCCAACATTGTTGCCTTAAAAATCATCGTTGCAAATTGTCTTGCGTAGAATTCCCCTTATACAATTAGGTATATAGGACACTATAGTCTAAGTTGTATTTATAGCCCAAATGCCGCTTTATTCGCTCAAAACAGGCATTTTTGACGAGACTCATCACGAAATTCATCATCATTATTACTAGCTTATGGACAGTGGGATATTAATAATTGTTCATGGGGAATTTAGCAGACATCGTTGACTAGTAATACGGCGCCTAATTTTAAGGTGAAAGTATATCATGTAATGGAATTTGATTTCTCATTAATAAAGCTTCTAATCTATGAATTTTCCAATAAGTAACAAAGGAGGAGCATGTTACCTTGGACAGTTAACGTGGCCGATTTTTTATTAATCCAAGAATGTTGCTTGCTACGCACGTGTACACTCCACCATCTTGCGACGTCACATCCTTAATCATTAAACCACCACGAGACTGTGCAATTCGTTTGTCGGCTGGAAGACTGGTATTTTCTTTAAGCCATGTTATTTGAGGAACAGGATTTCCTTTAACTTCACACTGCAGTGAAGCTACATCAGTTTCGTTTACCACCGTGGAAACTGGGGATGCCACAATAGAAGGAGCTGAGATGGATTCACCGGGATCACCCTTAGGTCCTTGAGGGCCCTGATCGCCCCTAGGTCCAGGAGGCCCCTGATCTCCCTGAGAACCTTTAGGCCCCTGCGGTCCCTGGGGCCCAGGCGGACCATGCTTGCCTGAGGGACCAGGCCTGCCACGATTTCCCTGTGGCCCTGGCTGACCAAGCTTGCCTGGAGGACCAGGCCTGCCTCGACGTCCCCTGATTCCTTTCGGACAATGAATTGTACAGGCCATTATTGAATTTCTTTTCTGGTTAAGGTTTCACTGGCGTTTGAATCCTTGTTTTGCAGATGGCGTTTTCGACGGATGTGTGCATCTGAAATTTAATGTAATCAGCAAATCAGTTGTTTGAGAGCAAAGTCCCAAAACGGCCGGAGCTTATCCTGGTTTTTTTTAGCATGAAGCATGCCTAGGAGTATTGCTAGTCCATCGCGGGTTTACCCCCATGTGAGCAGCATGCATGTCGTCGGTGCCTATTTCCCTTTCGTAAACGCTCGTTGCCATTTTTAACAGTCGATGCCACCATTGGTGACCAAGCATTTACTCAAAATGGATGTAATATATTCGCCTGATTAAGTTACAATAAGACAAATAATACGTTTTTGAATAGTCTTAGAAAGAACGACATTGAAGCCCAAGTTGAATTATGGAAAGGGCTTGGTTCACCTGTTATTGATTTAACATATTAAAGAAAAACAGTTTGCTAGTTTGTGTACTTAATGTTTTTCGGAATTTTGACGGGTCGGTGTGGTAGTGTAGTGGTAAGAGATTAGGATACGAAAGGTCCGGGTTCGACCCTGGGTTGCGATTTTCGGTTCTATTATGCATCAGTCAATTCCAGCTGCGCCCAGCCCCCCCTCCCCCGGGCTAAGCCCCGGGCATTAGCATTTTTTTGCCTTGGATGGCAAATTCCCGGGGGTAGGGACACTTGAGCTGTCAAATCCCCTGGGGTGGGGACGAAAAAAGAGGGCAAATGCCCCGTCCTTCGTCAACACTGCAACATTTTTCATTGATCTCACAGTCGAAAAATGCCGTTTTAAGCATTTTAATGTGCGATTTTTGTTTCAATTAACGTCTTCCTTTGTAATAGCGCTAGGATTCTAATAAAGACTTCACGCCGCAACGACATGCACCAGTTTATGGTTTTAGTATTGATATAAAATTATTGACATTAAATTAATAGAGCGCTGCAACTTTATATGTTATGAATAGTTTTATAAATATGAAAGGATGTTCTTCAAATAATATCAACAGTAATTTGATTCAATAACCAAAAAACGTTGATTCACATCGATAGCTCCGGTTTTCGCTACGTAATGAAGCAAAGAAGAAATGCATGCATAAAATGGAGAAAATGCCTTTACAACCCTCCTCAATTTATTCCTGCCTTTGACAGATGAGCCAATCTGCTTTTTTTCCAGTAAGGCCTTCTGTGTAGTTATACTCTGATAGGAAACCGCATATGTGTCAAAAGCTCGGGAATGGCCCCGGGGTTGGCAAAAGGCCGGTCCATGGGCAGTGCAAAATTTGCAAATGCCCGACCCCCGGGACTGACAAGTTGGGCAAATGCCCCACAGTAGCCCGGGAGGGAGGGGGGGCTGGGCGCAGCTGGAATTGACTGATGACTGATGCATTAATAGAAACGCTTCTAAAAGTTTCTAAAGATTGATTTCCACTGACGCGTTTCTGGCTAGGCACGTTAATCCACGTAAATTTTAATCACGTAAATAAAATAGAGGCAAGATAAAAAGTGCTGAGATTAAACGAGAAGTTGAGCGAGGTTCAACTTTTACGCTCAGGAGCGACCTTTCATGCATTGCCTCTATTTTATTTGCGAACGTAAATTTTCCTCACGTACGCACGTAAAAATTACGCGACCCTGGAAATCAACCTTAAGAGTCTTAAAAATGGCAGCGACCGTTTACGAAAGGAACAGCTGCGCCCGGGGGGGTACTCAACAAATTTTTATTCGGGGAGGCTCCGCCCCGAGGCTCAACCCCTTCAGCCCATTTATGTATCATTTTTTACGAAAAGGGGACCCCTTTCCTGTTGACAAATGGTACCCCTTTCACATACCTTGTTTAGAACTTTGCATACTTTTTAACTACTGTAAATGCACTGTCTTTTAAATAGGAATCAATCACAAAAATAGAACGTTTTCTGGACTTTATAAAGCCATAAAATTCATCTGTTAGCTCTTTTTAATCTCGTACCCAGATCTCACTCTGTTTTACACTGAAAAGTGAGATCTGGTAAAGGTGGATACAAGGCCATTTTTCATTGGCTCCTGCTAAAAGTTGTGCCGTGATAAAACAAACGCTATGATTGGCTCTTTTAACGGTTCCAAATTTTCGCGGTTTTTCGCGTGGCCGCTCCAG